ATGGCATATTATGATAGCTAACCACATATAAATAATATTTGCATGAAAAACGACGTGGTATATGAATTTATTCTGCCACAAGCAAGACAAATTCTCACACTGTTAGACACGAGACACGAGAGACGTGGAAAGTGGCAAAGTATTTAAAGCAAGAGAACAAATTGCAGTACGCCATTTGTAAATGTTTTGTTTTGTTTTATGATCCCGGTAGAAAATTAGTTGTTTTGACGCGTTTTACAGAAAAAGGTGTTTTTCAAGGAAAACAGCATTTTATTCAGTATTATAAATATAATATTAGCTATAATTGTAATTTGTTGTAAATGTGTTATTTTCATCTAATATTAAGGTACGACGAGCGTCTGCGGCTCTCGTAATGTTAAGAGGTAATTTTTGAGGATTTTTAGCATCATCTGACGAAGTCAAATTGCAGCTTGTAGAATCGCATGAGTGTGCGTCGTGCCCGTACCGGTCCGTCGTCAACAGTTGGGCCAGCAAATTACTTAACCGCTGACTAATCTAACTACGGTCACGATATTCGTGAAAAACTTTTTTGTTTCAGCGCTGACCTACCATTTTATCATCTTATGAAAGGACATGAAATGTGCTTTCCACTGACAGTGCGAAGCAGTAAGTGTGCTGATAACTATTTGGACCCTCAAGAGGAGGGTTAAACATGATTCTCTTAATCTAACCTGCGCGTTCAATGACGTCACAGTGTTGTCATATTCATGGCACATCCATAATCTTAGAAACCAATAGCCTGGATAGCCGAACGCGTACAGCACGCGCAGCATGCACGGCTGAAAGGTCGTTGTTCGAATCCATCTGATTTTTTATATCATTTACACTGCTTTTCTCTGTAGTTTTTCTATCTTATCCATGTAAAGGGCTCACCAATGCCATCCAAACGCTAATTTCATCCAGTACTAGACTGTCCAAATACTTCGTGTCATGCATAATCACACTACCTTATGACAAAATAAAACTCTAGTTGCTCCCATTTCACTGCGCGGTTGCTTAAAACCTCACAAGAAAGAGGTGAGAAACGGCCATTCTGCGCGCAAACCGCCGACTGTTTGCCAAAGCAAAATAGCTTCGAATGTGACGTGACGTACATGTTTTATTTTGCTGCGCAGCCCGATACGCGCTGTACCGCAGCACCGCTGCCGGTTGCTTGGGGTTGGGGAAACTGTCAACAACATCGAGAATTTACAACATTGGAGGTATTTTCAACAAATACCTTTTAATAAGTACAACGCGCAGTGAAATGGCGGAACTAGAGTTTATTTGCCATAACGGTTGTATGATTATGCATCGACACAAAGTATTTGCTAGTCTAGTACTGGAGATAATTAAGCGTTTGGATGCGCATTGTGCGCCTTTAACTATTTTTCCCATGGGTTAGCCCTAGCTTTGTCAGCAGCTGTGCGCAGCGGGAGTCTAGAGGTGTTCAAACGATTGCGCAATCAAACCGGTCAGTTGGAAAGATACAGGAATCACGAATAAGCGCGATCGCATCGTCATAGCCCCGATATAACCAGTTAAAATGCTTCGTAAAGTCCGCAGCGCAATCACGTTGCAGGAGAGGCTGACTATACTAGCACACTTTTTAAGTGTAATATCGAAAGATAGCTTATAAACATTAGTGTATTAGCTCATTTTGACTTGAGGTTTGCAGTAGTTTTCATTGGCGTATTCGCATGCCAGTCTAGGATTATAAAAACAACTGTTAGTGTTATCATTGACAGCATTTATCGCTACAGGCAGTTAATAATTATAATAGGACAATGACAGTTGGTAATTGGTTCAAGCTGCGGCCTAATTGGTAAACTAATCGAGGCCAGGTGTCTCTAGTACGAGTTACTAGTCACCTGTACCTGGTTCTCTATCCCTTGATCCACTAGTACTACTAGACTACTACGAACTAGTAACAACTAGTACTAGTTACTACTAGTAATAGTACACTAATACATACTAAGCTCCAAGAAAGGTTTTTGCTAGGCGTTATGAATATCCCTTACTAGACACAGGCACTTGATAGCGTTTCAATAAATATATAATGCTAACTAAATACGAAATCTATATTTACTACGCAAATTCGTTAATGGTCATTCGGGTTCGGTTCGCGAGTAGGCGTAGGCAACTCCCTAGACTCGTTAGTGGACGTAGCAGTGTACGGTTCGGCATATTAGATGGTACCAGGGTAGTTCAGCGCTATATCAGACCGTACCAGGGGCTACGTTGCGGCAGTACCCGCGGGGACCATAGACTCTTCAGCATTGCTACGTGTTCTCAGATATAGCCTTGCCATGGTCACTCGCGATGGTAATCTGAGGTGGAGCGAGTCCCAGTCTATGTAGCCTTTGTCCTGCAGCCAATTCCATGTACTGGCAAGTTCGCGAACGGCGAAGAATTTCGTGTACGTCTTTTCTGTACGATTTTGCTGTCACGCAGCTCGGTTACGAACAGAGACATTATGTTTTTATAACAAGTGAACACTGTTCACGTCCCAAATGTCTACCCTCTGTGTCCCCACATAAGAAATTGCGGACATGTTCCTTGGCAGCTATGGATCCGTGCGCCGGCCAATTCATTCCGGCGCACGATCCATAGCTGCCACGCGCGTGGCATACTGCTCGTACGACGTTCCCGCGGTCGGCGTAGCGCCTTGCGCCGCGGACTGCGCGGAGATCGCGGCAGCACTTCGGATTAACACCTCCTTTTCGGGCACGCTTCTCTCCGTATCCCGTCTCATCTGGACTATATTAATTCACTGGGCATCATTCTACATGTTTTAAATAATTTATGTTTTTTATATGAGATTAGCTCTCGAGTGCATATAGCCGTCGTTACCACACGCATTTTTTTAATCATATATTTTTCATTCGCTTTTCTGTAAATATGGTTTATTTTTAAGAGGGCGAAAGAAGAAGAGCTCAGGTTGACAAGCTGCTTAATTGCATGTAAACAGCCGTCACTGCTCAAAGAAAATCCCAACTTAGATGCAGAGACAGTTGTTAGGGATAGACGTACGCATCTAACGAGGATTCATGATGAAGAGGTAGCCTTCGCGTAGCAAGTCATTTGAAATATTAAAAGAAGACCTGCCCATCAGAAAATTTCTCTCGTGGACGAATTGTTAAGGTGTGCCTTCATGATTTTCCAACTTTAGCGAGCCTATTGTCAGCACGTAATGGCCTAGTGCTGTAGTAGAATTGGCTGCCATTTTAAAATAAAGATCTATATAATTGTAATGCTTTTTTTGAGTCTTTGTAGCTTTATAATCTCATAACAATATTACTTGACTCTGAGCACAACAAAAGAAATTCAACACCCACTTCATATGCCACCACTAATACTCACAGTAATCTCAATAACAATATTAATACTCCTCAGCACCACACAAAAGAATAAACACCACTTCACATATGGAGCAAGCACAGCAACTTCTACGCATGCACGCACGCACGCACACACGCGCACGCGCACACTTGTAGTGCGCTTGTACGTGCCCGCACGCACCCATACACGTGCGACGTGCACACGCACGCCAACACGCCACGCATGCACAGCTTTACATGTATGCCACACCACCGCACGCACACACGTTGCCGTTTACACGCACGCACACCGCACGCATGCAGCGCATGTGTACGTACGAGCGACGCACGCACCACATACGTGTACGTACAAACGGGGCACGCACGCATGCACGCATCGTGTGACGTGCGCACCGCCGCACGTACATACCACGCATGCACAGCACCTGTACGTGCATACGCACGCACGCAAACCACACAGCGTACGCATGCACACAACGGGTACGTTACACCACGCAACACCACGCACGCATGCACGCCACCGGAGTACGTGCACACGCACGCCACGCCACGCACGCACGCACATGCTAGGGTGCACACGCACGCACACATCGGCGACGTCACACCCACGCACACGACGGGACTGGCACACCCCGCGCATATATATTGTCACGCCGAAATATAGGTGTGTAGCGACCAGTAGGGCTCTTTGCAGGTCATACATGTACCTATACATTACATACCGAACAGACACTATTAAATCCTCCCAAGATACCTATACTTAAGAATTGAGATTTTCAGGGCTGAAAAATAGTATCCGTTCGCCCATGAAGAGAGCATTCGTAGCGTTCAGAAACGCTACCCAAGTGGCAATATGTAAAGCTAGGTAACCATGTACTTCAGCTGTGCACCATGAGAGTTATGACATATGGTTGTCCGGCGTTTTAAAAAAATATCGCGGATCTTACTAAATGACGACCAACACTTTGCTGCCTGAAAAAAATACATTGAAAGGAATTCGTTTTAAATTACAGTAACTATCCACCATCTCAATGTGTATGTCATTGCCACACACGATAGCCAGCCTAATAATGGCAACGCACAAACGTTGCTCAGCTTTAGTGTCAAGGACGAGCTGCCGGCGCCTCGATTGGTCGGCGTGCACAGTCGTCAATCTCTTACACGACATTGCCAACCAATTACATTTAGGCCCGTAATTATTACGATTTGCGTGTATTAATTACGCCAATTACGCCTAAGTCATCCATTTATACACTTTAAGTAAATTTCAGAATAAATTTAATTTTACAGTAAAAAATCTATTTTTTTTTTAAATTTTTCTTAAATAAAATTTCAGTGAGTGTAGACACTGACAGAGTTTCTGTAGGGGTGTTTGTGTTTAACAGAGAACTGAGATCTTTAATGTTTTTGTGAGCAGTTATTCTAGTCAGTGTCACTTGTTCAGCAGAGAACTCGTGAATCTTTGTGAAAGAGTTTTTTTTATTTTTTATCATTTTTCTTGAAAATTTGGGTTGGCGGATCTGTAAACCAACAAAATAAAAAATTCTCGCCTAAGATTCTAGTAGCATATCTGCTAATAGGTGAGAGTATATTTTACCACATATTTTTATTTGTAGATGCAATTGTGAAATAATCACTTTAATGTCAAATTGCATTTAGGTGGAAAAAGATGATGAGACCTCACAGTTCCTTGTTCAGAGAACGGATGAAGGGAAAAACGTAGGTATCCATGTTGTTGGTTAAGCATGTTGTGCAAGCTTGGGGTGAGTTTTTTTTATGCGATGTGTGATTGTTCATTGCTGGAAATGCTCCTCACAATTATTTTTACAATCATTCATGATATTATCATTCTTGCGTAGAACGATGTGCAACGATATAGTTTGAATGTGTCTAAAATGTTTGCTTACAGAGAGCAGAATGCTCGTTAGATAGGACACAGCAGCTAAACCCGATGGTCCATGTATACAAAGACACGGAATCCGTGGCTGCAAAACCTGATGAATTCTTCCACAATTTTGAGGTCGTATGTGCTACCTGTTGTACAACACAAGAAATGATCAGAATCAACAACGTGTGCCACTCACGGGGCATCAAGTTCTTTGCGGGCGACGTATTTGGTTACTATGGCTACATGTTTGCTGATCTGAATGACCACGAATATTTGGAGTAAGAAATGTACATTATAAACATTAACCCTCCCCCTCTAAATAAATACACCATACTAGCTACATGAGACCTAGCATAGAGCCCGAACTTCGAAGAATGAGTTTAAAATGCAATGGGAACGCACAAGTAAAATGCTCCAAATGTAGTTTTATATGACTGTTTCCCGTTATGATGGCATAATACTTATGTTAATGTTTTATTAGCTCACCTTGACAGCGTCAAGATGAGCTATTGCCATGGGGTGTCGTCCGTCGTACGTCTGTCCGTCCATCAACATTTGGCTACGTTCAACGATAACTCAAGAACCGTTTGACCCACATGTTTAAAATTGCATATAGTTGTTAGTGTTACTCCTATGGGAGAGGTTTGAACGTTCTATTTTGGAGCACGCCAGTCGACCTACTTTCGAGCCACGTCCACTTTTTGTCAAAAATGGAAATGGCCATAAGTCAGTTCAGGTTCAACGGATTTTGCTCATTTCTGGTATGTGAATGAATGAGGACTGGCCCCAAAACATATCACACAGGTCTTGATTTTTTTTTTTATTATGCAAATTAGGTAGATTTTAGCAATTTCACTATGCATTTTAGTGTCAGCCTACGGTCAACGATAACTCAAGAACCGTTTGACCCACATGTCAAATTGCATACAGTTGTTACTCCTATGGGAGAGATTTGAACGTCCTATTTTGGAGCACGCCAGTCGACCTACTTTCGAGCCACGCCCACTTTTTGGCAAAAATGAAAATGGCCATCTAGATTCATTCGATTTTGTTAAATTTTGGTATGTGAATGTGTAAGGCTAGCCCCAAAACAGTTATTACTCCTATGGGAGAGATGACAACATCCTATTATGTTTATTTCGTCTAACTGGTTCCCTGATGAAGCACTAGTACTACTGTCACACCTGTACTCCTTGAGGAAGCACTAGTACTATTGTCACACCTGTACTCCCTGATGAAGCACTAGTACTACTGTCACATCTGTACTCCTTGAGGAAGCACTATTACTATTGTCACACCTGTACTCCCTGATGAAGCACTAGTACTACTGTAACATCTGTACTCCTTGAGGAAGCACTAGTACTATTGTCACACCTGTACTCCCTGATGAAGCACTAATACTATTGTCACACCTGTAGTCCTTGATGAAGCACTAGTACTATTGTCACACCTGTACTCCCTGATGAAGCACTAGTACTATTGTCACACCTGTAGTCCTTGATGACGCACTAGTACTATTGTCACACCTGTAGTCCTCGATTAAGCAATAGTATCACACCTGTACTCCTTGATGAAACAATAGCTTCAAACTTGTACTCCCTGATGAAGTATTAGTGCATCACATGATAAATCGTTGAAATTCCATTGGATAACGTTGCAGGTACTATGATACAATGGTGGCGGGCACTATTGCTTGCGCGACGCAGCAATCTATAGCGACTGTTCTAAATCACGTATTGATGTTGACGCTTTCAATGTGTATTCCAAAGGATACTCGGACAATACTTTTATTCCAATGTTTATTCCAGTTGCAATGTGTTACGTTTGTGTGCCCCCAACAACAGGCAATAATATATAAATAGTACTATTGTCGCACCTGGCTGTACTCCTTGATGAAACAATAGCTTCATACCTGTACTCCCTGATGAAGCAGTAGTGCTATTGTCACACCTGTACTCCCTGATGAAGCAGTAGTGCTATTGTCACACCTGTATACTCTCTGGTGCAGAAGTAGTACTATTCCTACACATGTACTCCCTGATAAAGCAGCAGCGGCACACCTGTATTGTTCAGGCAGCAGGTTTCTAGACACTCGCTGTCCTCGCACTCTACATTCTAGAATTCTAGAAAATTATCTCGCTGTAAAAGCAGCAGCGTCAGGTCAGCTCCTTACTGTTGATGCTGGCAACACACAAATAGCCGTACTGAAAATGCAACAGCATCACACCTGTTCACGGGTGAAACATTAGTGCTCTTGCCACGCTCTGTTCTCGCTGTGGAAACAGGAATGTCCGCTAGCGCCCCTGCTATAATGGCATAAACAAGTCCGCTCTCAGCAGTTATATGATTATATCAGGAGATATAATATATATAATATATGATAGCAGCAGATGCGTCACACTTTCTCATTAATACTGGCAATCCAATGTGGAGAAGATATTATTATTATTATTCTGGCTTTATGACATGCATGCGTGCCACCGACGCAGTCGTGTATATATATATATATATATATATATATATATAGAGAGAGAGAGAGAGAGAGAGAGAGAGATCTAT